TCAAAAGTTATTAGCGAATAGCTGTTAGATACCATTCATGACCTGAAATGACCTCAGGGACATACAGCGGGGTTACGGGTGCAATTTTCCGGTTCAGCGGTCATGTTTACTTGTAAATAAGAGTGTCACAGTGTTAGGAATGACACTGGTCCAAAAGAGGCGCCTTTCAATTTTGTACCATTGACTTTGCGCCCTCTCCCATTTATAATGGGAGAGGGCATGAAATTGACCTGAACTTTGGTCACCGACATCAAATCTCCGAGATACAAATTTTGTACATGTTGTTGCCTTTATCAATTCCTGAAAGTTTGAAAGAGATCTGTCACTCAATGCAGCTAAAGTAGGCGTTGCAGTCTTTACTGAGGTGAGGTCACTTGACGTGATCGATCTGGTGACCTGACTTTGAGTGACTCTGGTCTGAAATATTCACAACATGTGCAGAAACGATGTATGATAAAATGTTCCAAAATGGTGGCGCTCCGTGCCAACGTTTTTGAGATATTTGCGAGAAACCGCAGGGGAGGGGCCTGCGGTTTCTCGCAGATATGGTACCTACCCAAAGAGTCACGGAAAAGTATGGAATTTCAGTAACATTGGTTGTATCACCAATGGTGTCTGGTAGGGTGGGGGTAATGGCCCTGCCTGGCGCCAAAAAAGGGGGCACGACCCTGGAGGACCTGCCGACCACTGATCTATACGCAAGTGCGTAAGCCAAAAACGAACCTCATCTGACTTGTAAGCCGGCGGCCAGAGCCCAAAATGTGAACAGGCCAAGCATCGATAGTTTTTACTTTGACCTGACCTGAGACCAGACACGTGCATGGGTCCAAGAAAATGGATCTGGGATCTGATCCCACGGATCCTGATCTCGGATCCGACGGGATCATAGATCCAGCTCTGTAATTTATCGAGAGATCCGTAGGGATCACAGATCCGAGTCTCATTTTTTGCTTGAGATCCAGTGAGATCATAAATCCTCACTTATTTTTTGTCAACACATATTTATATCCCAAAAAATACTTGTTTCAACTCACAAACGTTCTGTTTTAGTGATTTTATGTGATCGCACGTCATAATCCATAGTTTTATGTCACTTATTGGCATAGAAACCCTTTAAAACATGGTTTCAAATGTGATGCATGGTGGGATCCACTCAGATCATAGATCCATGTTCTTATTTTATCGTCAGATCATATGAGATCATAGATCCAAGATGTATTTTCCACGCTGGATCCGTGGAATCATAGATCCCAGCCTGCACTTTGCTTCGAGATCCACTGAGATCATAGATTCATCACTCGGATCCATGCACATGTCTGCCTGTGACTTAACCCTCGCGGGCCCGGGGGGCGTTTTTCGCCCCCCCCCCCCTCCTGGCGAATATTTGCTCTAGCTCCCGAACGCTTAGTGATAGGAAAGCGAAACGTTCAGTATCTTTTCTCCCATCAATTTGACATCTTCTGAAGTATAAAATTTGGACCTAGCCCCATTGATGACGTCACAAGGTCCATTTTTCTAGACCCCTGCACGGCAAACTTCGGCGTCACACAGACGCAAACTTCAAATCAGGGATGCGGAGCCGTGGAAATTTCAGACGGCTCCGGCTCCGGCTCCGGCTCCGGAGAAAAAATCGGCTCCGGCTCCGGCTCCAGCTCCGGGTGAAATGCTATGGCGGCTCCGGCTCCGGCTCCGGCTCCGAGTAAAATGGTCCGGCTCCGGCGGCTCCGGCTCCGACTCAGTACATCCCCTATGCAATCAATTTAATACGGGTGGAAGAAAAAGAGACGTTGCTGGGAGTCGCAGTCCACTGCACTGGCTTCAAAACAATGGCCGTCACCTGATGACCGGTCCTCATGTTCTGGGGATGCAGTAGACGTGTGTGTGGGGGGGGGGGGGGGAGGAGCAGACAGGAAGTTGATTGCGTACTGTGGGATACTGGGGATATTCGGCTTTTTTCATTCACTTGATGGCCCATGACGTACTATTGGTCTCAAGATAAGGACCCAGGCGACCTGTAGTTTTGATGCGATGGATACCCTTACCCTCGCCACAACTCGGGCCGAGTGCACCCCTCCTCCCAGCCAGCGCCACCCCCACTCGAGTTGTGGCGAGGGTGAGGGTATTCACCGCATCAAAACTACAGGTCGCCTGGGCCCTTATCCTGAGACCAATAGTACCATATGTTTTACTGCATTGTACTGTCAAACCGAGCTAGGTCAATTATTTTTTTCCTCTTCAAAAAATAAAAAGGAGCCGGAGTCGCCCCCTTTTTTGGCGGCTCCGGCTCCGGCTCCGGCTCCGGGCTATATTGTTTCACGGCTCCGGCTCCGGCTCCGGCTCCGGGCAAAATATGCCGGCTCCGGCGGCTCCGGCTCCGACTCCGGCTCCGGCTCCGCATCCCTGCTTCAAATAGCTGCTGAAAATAGAGTTTTAGAGATAAAGACAAATTACGAGCACGGTTGTGTAGCGTTTGACCTAGATAAAAATAGAAAAATAGTTTTGGTGACCTGAGGTCAGAGGTCAGGTCAACGACCCCGAAATGTGGTTTTAGTTTTTCGCAAATAACTTCGACAAAAAAGGTCCTAGAGCTACGGCAATGGTACCATCGCATTCGCCTTGTCAAGCCGCGTCGAATGATATATATTTTCTTCGGAAAAGGTCAAGTTTTATGTTGACCTCACGTGACCTCGAATGACCTCTGGTTGACCTTGACACATGAGAGGTCATTTATGATGGATTTGTACCCGCTGATCACGAATCTGGCATCTATTTTCCTCTAAGCCTTCATTTAGAGCTTCTGGACGGCAAAATTGTCTTATTTATTATTACTAACTTGAATCAGTGAAATAGCCTCTATCAGGGATACTCTTCTGTGACCTTGACCTTTGAGCAGCCTTGTATCGTAAGATGAACCACAAATAGCGAACTAATAAGCCTCAAAACATTTCAAAACATCTTGGAAGCTAGCACGCAAGATGTGCGAAAAGTGCCAAGTTTAAGGTCAATTTTGAGCGTGACCTTGACCTTGACCTTTAATTTTAAGCACATTTACGGAATCCTCAGCTTCTCTTCTTTCGTTTGACACCCAATTTTGCCGGTTTGATGCAGCCTGCCGTCCTATAGAAGGCTTACTTTGAGATCACTACACATGTGCCGGTTTTTGCCTTTGACCTCGACCTCTGACCTTGAAAATTGACCTGAGGTCAAAAATTTTAGGTGCTTTAGAATCGTCTCGTAAGGACCTTTCGTTTGGTATCGCTTTTGTTTCCGTAGCTCCCTTATTTACGGAGTTAGACAGGGGGGGGGGGGGGGGGCGAAAAACCCAACCACCCCGGGCTGCGGTGGTTGGGATTACCCCCCGGGCCCGGCCGGGTTAATTGGTGACCTCAAGGTAATTAGAATTAGGTTTCGCTCGACAGTTTTTCCGGGGCTATCAGACGCCGTTTGCATTTTGACAATAGGCCCAGTAGTTTCGGAGTTCGGAGTGGGACGATGAATAGCCCCCCCCCCTTCCAATAGGGCGTGTTATACTCGTACATAGACCTCAGTGAGGCGCCGGTTAAAATTAGGTATCATCGGCTTTCGTCTCTGGCGAAACGCCCGTTTTGCCGCGAAGCCTTACCATAATCAGGGGCAGAGCGGCTGACCCATGATCCCCGCTGCATGTGCATAATGCATGCCTTCTCCACACCAACTTTGAAAAATTATACACCCGTGCTTCTTTCGATGCACCTAAATGACGTGAATGACACTACTGCACGTGGCACGTGGAAAATGAAGGGGTGTCGAGTTTGTTTCAATAACAATAGCTCCGCAATTCACTGAGCCGATTTCGATGAAAATTTGCATGCTGGATAGGCATGGGCACCTATACAAACGTATAGCTGCTACGGACTGTTACTGCCGTGTAAATTCGCCTGTTGTTCCATGACATCGAATAGATAAATAAAATAACGGGTAATGCTTTTCCATGAATGCATCATGGCCGAACGACCGGACCGATTGCCCTCAACATTGGTATACCGTTGAGAACCAATGTGAGGAGCACCCGGCACAAGCTAATTGGTGTTCAATTAACACATGCATGCACGTCCAAAGTACATTTCTACGTTTTAGGGATGGCTGTTAGTTATAATGTTTCACCTTCTTTTTCTCACGTTGTAATGCATGCACAACGGGCGATGCGGGCGGTTTTGTTTTTTGCGCCTTTTGCGGTTGGCGGCCGCTTTTTCGTTTCTTTTTTTGCGGTGTTTGCTTTTGGCGGCGCGGGCGGGCGATTTTTAGACGTTTTCGGTTGGCGGTTAGCGGGCGTGCGATGCGGGCGGTTTTATTTTTTTGCGGATTTTTTGCATTTCTTTTGCGGTTTGCGGCAGACGTGCGTTTGTTTATTGTTTATGTTTGCGACGTTTGCGTTGGCGTTTCGGCCGTGCGTTTTGCGCGTTTTGCGGTGTTTGCGTTTTACGGCGGGTGGGCGTTTTTCACAATTCAAAGTCCAAAGCTTCGGGCCACAGCGCTTCTCGAAAAGCGCTGCCCTCGAGTAACGCATGCACAATGCACACAATTCAATAATTATATGCGTGGTGGCTTTAAAGATTTTTGACTAGTATGCTTTTGGTAAAAATAATGTGAATTGTGCGACCATTAATGTGATATTTCCAAGTGTGCGGTCCATTTCCAAAATTCGACAAGACATATGCACTTTTATGCCATCGAAAAACGCTAAGCCAGGGCGCGCCTGCGCCCTGCGGCACGGTGTTTTGAAGACAAACTGTGATGAAGAAGGAGGGCAGGGCAGTAGAAGCACCATAGTAAGTCGTGGATCAACATTATTTACCACGCAACCTTTTTTCAATTAATATGAAGTCGAAACTAAGAGATTCGGGCGTGGGACTGACATATCTGAAAGGCCCCGATTCGACAGGCGCTTCTGTTTGTGAAACACCATTACCAGTCCAAATCGTGAAAGCCAGGAGGCGGCGAGTACGGGTATATAACGGGCGTGGAGATCGATTTCACCGTCACATTCTGATTCGACAGTCCTTCCAGTGAGGTGAGGACTCACGAGCACAGCAGCAGACGCAGCGGCGCCAGCACCGACCGTTACTCGAGTTCGGCCGACCGACCAGTGTCGTGGTTTGATTCAGTGTGTGCCGTGAAGTCAGTCTGCACCATGAAGCTGTCCGCGTGTCTGCTGCTGGCCGTGGTGGCCGCCGTCTCTGCCGACCAGGGCTTCTACCAGCCGCAGGCCGCGGCGGTCCAGTCGGCGCCCAGCTCCTACACCAACTATGCACCCGGAAACTACTACGACCAGCGTCCTCCGGCACGCCAGGGGTAAGACATGAACGAGGGGCTTCAGGCCATATACATATGTTATTAGCCTTGCGTTGATCGTGGAAGCCCTGAGATAAGGAACTGATTATCTCATGCAATAAAAGTGATACTGACTTACGTTATCCCCCAGTTGTATACACAACACAACATTACCTATCGGTAATTTACGACCGTTTTTTGTTGTTGTAATGTTATGATAGGTATGGTCTGTGATGTACGATCACTGTAAATGCTAAATGAGGCAACTCAAAAGCTAATCACACAATGTTTGAGCTGAGTTACGGATATGACGTGTTTTTTAGTGAACAGAAACACATTAAACGCAAAAATGACCTCAACATATATTCGAGATGACTTTTAGGACACTGCTCTGGTAAAAAGAAGCGCTACTTTTTGTCCTGAAACTTACATTACCGATTTTTTTGTTATTGCAGATGGTTCGACAGGATCTTCGGTGGATCTAACCGTCGCCAGGGCATTGCAGGACTTCTGGCAGGAATCGGTAAGAACTAAGTCAGACTGCTGGTTTTAGATGTCATCATTTTATTATTACACGTCGCAGTGCATCCTGTCAGCATTATGAAATGCTTGAATGTTTTCCCGTTCTCCAACTTCCAGTTATCATTAAAGGCATGCCTGCATGAGTTCCCCATGCATCACAACCATAGTGTCATTTCCACTGATTTCGATGACCAACTTTGTTTCTCTTTTCCACAGGACCGATCGGCGCGGTCGTCGGCGTCGTGGTTGCCGTTGTTGTTGTCGTCGCCGTCGCCGCGGCCGCTACTCAGCTCAGCCAGTCCGGCAGAGGTCTGGACAATGACGAGTGGGAGGTGGACCACTCGGTCTGGATGAGCCAGCTCCAGAGGGACTTTGAAGACTCGTGGTCGAACTAGTAAATCAGGGTCGAGGAGGAGTGGTTACGACGAGCAATGGATACAGACAACACTTCATCGAATAGCTAAAAGCGCGAAAAAGTATTTATATACGTAACGTCATCCATTATATCTGGCAGCTAACTTTGACATCATAATTTGCAGCATTTACGATGCAATGCTACCCGGTCGCCTGTGTCAATTGCTTTTCATTAAATATTCCAGAAGTACCGATAAACTAAGAGATAAAAGTGCTAAAACGTATTCGTTTTTCTTTACAAGTCCTGAAAAGCTCTTGAATTGTTAAGTTGTTACTGCATTGTTGTTGAGCATTGATAAATGACATGAATGTTCCTTGTCTGTTTCCTGTTGATAGTGACATTGTTCTTGTTGAGTTATTACCTGTTATCTCGACATTGTTTTCGTGATATGAAATATATTTAAACCCTCATCTGCTTGTCATTGACGTGTTCGAGGCCGGACAACCGTTCGCGGGCTCACGGACAGCGTTTCACAGGGATGGCATATGGCCTGCTTTAGCGACACACACACACACACACTCACGGTCCTTTGGAAAGTGGCGCGCGCGCCGCTGCGCAGCGTCCGGCAGTCCTGCGCCATGGTCTGATTAATCGGGTCGGTGTGACCGCTTGGCTGGTCATTGTGCCGATAGTCCGACGGAGGCACTGGTTCGGTCTCCACAGTCTGCGTCACGCAGCTGGTTCGTTCCACCTCACGGCCACGGAATAATGAGCTCAATGGGCTCATCGTGTGGGCAGTGAGCCGATATAGGAGACCGATCGGAATAAATGGGAAAGTACATATTTCGACTGTTACTTGCTGAAAGTGAGGGCTGGAAACAATGGCGTTTATGAGTCAGAACGCAGCGTGAAGTGAGTCTGCATATTTTGAACGGAAAATATTAGATTTTGTAGTCCGCAACTCCGCCCATGAGGCTACACTGTCAAAAAAGTTTAGCACCCATGTCAAAACCGACACCCTATGCCGGCTTATTATAAGCACCGTAAATGGGTGCACTCCTTCAGGGCATGCTTAAAATAAGCCGTTACAGGGAGCTACTTTTCGACACGGATGTTAAGCCTTCACAACCTTTTGGCCTGCTTAGAAAATAAGCCGGCACAGGGAGCTGGTTTTTGACATGGGTGCTAAATAATATTTTTACAGTGTTAGCCGTTTTCACGACGGGCTAGCCGGCGACTGGCGAGTGCACCTAATGTGACCAAATCTGCACCTAATCTCTTTTACAGCAAACATTTTTATTTTATGAATTTATTTCAGTGTATTAATATTAATCGATGATACTCTGATAATATGACAAAGCAGGCACATGAGGAATTATTGCAACCCTAGCGGATAGCTACTTAGAAACACACTGAACCTATAATTTGACCAAATCTGCACCTAATCTGCACCAGATGTGCACCAAATGTGTACCAGATGGCCATCGTGAAAACCGCTATTCTAATCCTAATCACGTTCCTTTTATCAAACGTCCAATCCTTTTCTCACGCATCAGAATACACTAGCATTTGGCTTACCATATCAGAATGTGCGCACGTGCAGGATAGGACCTCCATCTTAGGGGTGGGCAAACTGCGTACAAAGCTGCTAGAGGCTCTTATGGACTGAAAATTACGGTTTGGTGGGCGGTCTCAATTTGCAAGTGCGCACATGAGCAGTATCACTATCGCGCTCGCCTCGCACTTTCGATGCTGGAAAGGTGTCCCACTAATCAGTACTAGTTAGCACCCCGAAAGCCCCTTAGCAATCTCCATTTAAAAAGCTGTAGCAGTTCCCAAGTTTCCCGACTTTTGGGTCATTAAACTGACCTGGAAGGTCAACCAATTTGACACAGGCTCTTATACACTGGCTCTCTGTAGAGCCTTATAAAATTGAGTATCATTGGCTTCCTCTCTTTACGGGCAACACGATTGTGTTTTTTTTTTTTCGGTAAGCTCTTGCTCGATCAGAGGCCGAGCGGCATGGATGGACTACGAAGTAATACACATTACCTACACAATGCTGTTCCCGGAAATACTTTCACGAGCCAAGAACTGTGACCACTGGTGTACCGTGGTTCATGCCACTATCCAAAATAATGGTCCAACATAATACCTATAGGTACTGATTTCGAACGGACTTAGGTCTCCACATAGTCGGTAACTCTGCCTCCAATGGTGTCAGATTAGTATTCGAGACAGCTTATTTTCTGAATTCCGAACATCTGGGGTTGATCTTATCAGCTGTCCCTATTTCGTCATTAACTGAAAGTAGCAGGGTGCGACGAAGAAAGTGACGTTTCTGTTAATGAACACTCTCGCTCTTCAGTCTTATCAAGTTGGGGACTGGAGCTTGTTGTTTCAGGGCAGAGCCAAGGCCAGTTTTCTTCAGTAGCGGCGGAACACCTTTAATTAAGGCAGGGGGGCACTGCCGACTTTTGTTCCCATTCTTTCCATGCAACGCCCATAGGGCTAATGTTAAAATGCCAAAATCAGAGGGGGGGGGGGGCACGGTGCCCCGGTGCCCTCCCCATTTCGCTGCCTATGGTTTTCTAATTGATGTCTGTGCCGATAGTTTCCAAAGCCACTTTGGAATAGCACCACTATAATAGCTACCATTGGCAGGTCAAACGGCTGTATCCATGCAATGCTAGCAGAATCTTGACTCTTGGGGGTATGACTTTGGATGAGAGGTTGTAAATGACTTGATCTGGGTCACAGGGCTTGATAAAGCCTGCTATACCAAGGCGTTGTAGCTTCCGAGAGTGAATAAGTTCATGTTTCTTGACAAAGTCAGACAGAATGTTTTTTGCGTCGCTGACGAGCCAGAAGTACTGAAAGAACGACAAAGTTCCATGTAACGACCGTCGTATGGAATCAACGTCTCTTTTTAAGATCCGTAATCTTCTTTTCTTGTAGTTGATCTCATTGTCTAGAAGTTCAGTTTGCCATGTTCGATAGAGTTTCGAATGTTGTAAGGACTTTCTGTACAGTTTAAACCGTAAGAACTTCGGAAAGATGTCATAAGTTTTGCAAGTTTCTAAAAACGTGATGTCCAGGTTGCATTTTGCGGCCTTCTTCTCATGATCGATCAGTTTGAAAACGTCTTTGAACGTAGATCTTCTGTGTGATCTCTTGATATGATCGAAAAGTCGTTCATGTTTTGGTCGTAGAAGTAAAAGAAACTTCACCAAAAGACAGCTCAAGGCAGTAATCATATTCCAGACCGGTTTCGGCACGTTTAAGTACCATCATCAGTGGGCATACATGTTACATTCATGATACATGACAAAACAAAGTTAATACAAAAAATCGTAGTTCAAAATTCACAAGTCGTTACATCGTTTAAACATTCGGATCAATCGCTACATTCTTTTAAAATCGGTTGATGCTCTCACAGACCTATTTGAAAAAATATGTCAAGAACTCAGGTGCTTCATACTTCAAGGCACTTCAAAATAAAGCACCAAGTGATGGTGGCTACTTTTAAGCCACAATCTGCAGGGGCACAGCTGAGTTTTTACTATTTAAGCTTGGTTTTTCCATATGTATGTGTAATGATTCGAGCGTTCTAAGGTCCATAGCTGTTGGCGCTCTTGCAAGTATTTGAAAGTCCGAAATTGAAAAACGGGTGTCACACTGATCTGAATGATCTCTCACAGATGACTGGGGAGGAGATGTCAGCATCTTACCCGTTCTCTCAGAGATTCCTAAATGTTGGCTAACTCTGGTGTTAAGGCGTGCACTGGTAGAACCAATGTACGACCCCCCGCACGAGGGGCAACAGAATTTGTATATCACGCCAGAGCAGCACATTTTTGGAACTCTATCTTTGTGTTTGAAAAAAGAGCCAATCGTAAGTTGATTCCTCAGGACGATACGAAATTGAGCATAAGGGTAGAAAGTAGTCAGTATATCGGTAATAGCATGTTTTAAAGCTTGAGACTGTTCTCCAAGGTACGGGAAAGTCACATATTTGTAGAGCTTGGGCACATCAAAAGATGCTGGTACCCGATCGTATTGTTTGTTGAGGAATTTCCTCACTTCGAAATTGATTAGAGGAGCAGGAAAACCATTATTTTTGAAGAAAGTTCTCAGGAAATTAAGTTCACAGTCAAAAAGTCGATAACTGGAGCATAACTTGAAAGATCTGTGGATGGCCGATTGCAGTACTGCCACCTTGATCGCCTTGGGAATAAAGCTAAAAAAACTTAAACCTAGTCCAGTGAATGACGGTTTCCTGAATACAGAGGTTACGAATCTGTCCCCAGACCTTGTGACGTTCACATCCAAGAATGAAAGTGTACCGTTTGTTTCTACTTCCCTAGTGAACTTTATCCTTGGGTGACGGCCGTTCAAGTATTGTAAGAATCGGTCTATATGCGAGGGGTGGTCAAAAATAAGAAAGCAGTCGTCGACATACCTGCGATAGTAGCTGGGTTTGAAGTCCACGGGGCAATCATCAAGCCATCTTTTCTCATGAAAACATAAAAAAATGTTGGCAAACGTAGGTCCTAGAGGGAGCCCCATTCCAACGCCATCTTTTTGGAACGGAATTTTGTATGGTCTACCTAAGGTCCATAAGCTGTTGACTCCTATGCGTCCTATCTTTGCCGCATGTGGAACGCCTACCTATAAGCTTGCAAAATTTTTGGTGCCCATTTTAGCTCCTCTCACTGAGAACCAATTCACGATAAAAAATAGCTATCAGTTCGTATCCGATATTCAATCTATCAGATTAAGCTCAGATTCTACCATGGCTAGTTTTGATGTTGAAAGTTTATTTACGAATGTACCGGTCCGAGAAACCATTGAGATATGCATTAACTCTCTGTTTGATGGCAAAGATACATTCGTCGGTATCGCAAAGGGTCTTTTCCAATCCATGCTCGAACTTGCTGTTCTGAACTCGTATTTCTTGTTTGATGGTGACCTGTACAAGCAAAAAGATGGCGTTGGAATGGGGCTCCCTCTAGGACCTACGTTTGCCAACATTTTTTTATGTTTTCATGAGAAAAGATGGCTTGATGATTGCCCCGTGGACTTCAAACCCAGCTACTATCGCAGGTATGTCGACGACTGCTTTCTTATTTTTGACCACCCCTCGCATATAGACCGATTCTTACAATACTTGAACGGCCGTCACCCAAGGATAAAGTTCACTAGGGAAGTAGAAACAAACGGTACACTTTCATTCTTGGATGTGAACGTCACAAGGTCTGGGGACAGATTCGTAACCTCTGTATTCAGGAAACCGTCATTCACTGGACTAGGTTTAAGTTTTTTTAGCTTTATTCCCAAGGCGATCAAGGTGGCAGTACTGCAATCGGCCATCCACAGATCTTTCAAGTTATGCTCCAGTTATCGACTTTTTGACTGTGAACTTAATTTCCTGAGAACTTTCTTCAAAAATAATGGTTTTCCTGCTCCTCTAATCAATTT